GCAACCTCCAACTCCTGGGCTCAAGCGAGTCTCCTGCCTCTGCCTCTCAAGTAGCTGGGACCACAGGCGCCCGCCACAACACCTGGCTATTTTTTGGTTGCAGCCGTCATTGTTGTTTGGCGGGTCCAGGCTCGGGATTCGAACTCGCCACCTTAGGTGTACGTGGCTGGCGCCTTAGCAGGTTGAGCTATAGGCACCGAGCCTCAAGTGATCCTCTTGCCTCGGCCTTTTGAATAGCTGAGACTACAGGCACCGGCCACAACACCCAGCTATTTTTTAGAGACTCATTCTTGCTCAGGCCGGTCTCAAACTCCTGAGCTCAGAAGATCCACCCACCTTGGCCTCCCAGAGAGCTAGGATTACAGGTGTGAGCCACCATGCCTGGCCCATATCTGCTTTTTGACTCTAAGAAAGTCCATGTGTTGAAAAATAAGAACAACATAGTAATCCCATTGAATTAGAAGTTCCAAGTAGAGCAAAGAACACTTCATCTTTATGTTTTCAGCCAAACAATCTCACAGCCATCTTCAGCAGGGTATAGTGGAGTTAAAAGAAGAGATTCTTGGAGATAAACCGCCTGGATTTCAATATCAGACCTACTAATTAATACTGGATTTTAGGCAAATTGCTTCACTTCTCTGTACCTCAGTTTCCCCATTTTTAAAATGAGGGCAATGATAGCACTTGCCTCATAGTGTTATGGGGATTGAGAGACTTCATTATTTTTAAACATTTTACATGTACTCTTTAGGTGTTTGTTAAATTAAATAAACCTTAGAGATCCAATACGTAAAAGTTAAGAAGGATTCCCCTAATTTGAAACTCAGAGTCAGCAGTTATTTTGTTTTGTATAATTTAATTTATATACACTTTGATTTAATTCAGTCACCTGATTTAATTTTCACTTTCTATTGATTGCTGCTTTGTAAGTTATTCTGCTAATATCATTTGTTTCTCACCCAAAACTGAGAAAGACCAGCAGAGTAGGTTTTACTTTGCTCATTTTGTTGATGGAAATGTTGTTGGAGGAATTGGGTTCAAGAAAGATTATGTAGCCTACCAATGCTACACAGTCATGCCCTGTCAGGACCAGACCCTGCCCCAGATGACCTGACTCCTGGTCCAGGGCCTGGCTGGACCTAAAGCATCTGCTTCAAACCCTCCAATAAAATCTTCAAGTCCAAGGGTGGCCCCTGTGGCTCAGAGGGTTAGGGTGCTGGTCCCATATGCTGGAGGTGGCAGTTTCAAACCCAACCTGGCCAAAAAAAAAAAAAAATCTTCAAGTCCAGACTGTCACTCAACTCCTAAATCTACTTTATGTCAAATGAAGACCTGGGAGAAATTTACCCTAGGGCAAAAGAATGTGACTCAAGCTCTACGTACCTTTATCCACCATTTAGGTCTCCAAAGAGCACCATTTGTGTCCAAAACACCATATTAGGTGCTGCAGAGAATAGAATTACAAGCCTTGACTTTGTAATTAGAGAACTGAATGATTCTCTAGGGAAGGGAAGAAATTTTATATACTGGAAACAATAACAAATTCAGTAAATTTAAAGCACATTCTTTAAAGAAATCAGAGAGTTTAAGCAAGAATCTCTACAATGTCTCAATCACGTTCCCATCTTGGACACTTTAAGTAGAACATTGAGCAGAAGCAATCATCATAATACCCAGAAATAGCAGACACCTAACGACTGAGTTGCTCTTTCCAAAAATGTTGAGTCTAATTACCCCCACATCCCTAAGGATACATCTCTACTGTTCATGCTCACTTTATTTCATAAGAAGTATTCAATGATGTCAGATAATGAGTCTATTTTAAATAACTCCAACAAAAAATACTGGGAGAAATCTTGACCTCATAGGAAGCCCATAGTCCTTGATTCTGATTTTATCTTAGCCATCTCCTTTGCAGACTTGAGCAAGCCACCCTAGAGCAGCAACTAGGGTTACCACATAAAGCCTGAAAGGTAGGATGGCTTGCTCAAGTCTGCAAAGGAGATGGCTAAGATAAAACATAAGGAACTGTATTAAAGGGTCACAGCATCAGGAAGGTTGAGAACCACTGCTCTAGAGCGTTTAGTACTGAGTTGAGACACCTACTGTATTAACCACTATATTACAAACATTCTTCAGGGGATTGGTCCAGTGTTTTCCAATAAATAGATGTGATATAATTGGATTTCTCTGTTCCTCAGTTTCTACATCAATTGACCGGATTTTTTCTTCCACTAGTAACTAGTAACACAGGAGGCATATAAGTAATTCAAGGAAAGATACTCAAACACTTTAAATATCCATTACCCAATAGTGAATAAATGAATGCATGAATTTTTTTTAATGTATAGAAGAGAGAGTAAAAGTGAGAGAGAGAGAAGAAAGAAAGGGATGAAAGAAAGAAAAGAAAGGAGAGAGAATGAGAAACAAAGAGAGCTAAATTCATGAATCTTAAAGAATAGACTATTCTAGTGCGTTAACAACAGTAGCTTTTAAGTGCCAAAACTGATCCAAAATAAATTCATGCATCATCATCATCATCACAATAAAATATTACACTTCAATTTTTGAAATTTTGAGAATAATAAAGTTAGATGAAATACAAAACTTTTAAGTAATATTAAGTAATATTTTCGTATTTTGTTATGTCCTAATTATTACTTTCATGCAATTAGTCATGAAATATAAGTATGTTTAGCTAATTGTAAATAAAGCACTAGAGCTGGTTATGGAAATATAGTGGGAAATTCCAAAGTTTATAAGCATTTTGTATCTGTGTGTATATTATATCAAGAAGAGTTAAATGTCTGTAGATTAAGAACTTAATATTTACATAATATATACTATTTTGCCAAGATGTTTGTATCTGATTTAAGCTGTTGGAGGGGTTTTGCATTTGAACATGTGGGGCTCACTGTGGAGGCAAGAAATAAAGTCACTAAGTGAAATGTAAATAGATAAGGATAGTACAGAATATTGATTCCTTCTGTAAATAACTCTAATAGTTTGGGAGGTGAAAGAGATTTTTCTCAAAGTATATTGCTCAAATAGTTACCTAATTAGAACAACATATTTTTTTAAGTTTCACTTATTCAATTAAAAAATTACTTTGCAACCACCTTAGTACCGATTGATTCATTAATGATCAAAGAATCATTAAGGGCTGCTAAAACTCTTGGGTGAAAAAGTTTGTTGAGGACGAGCAGCACCTGTAGCTTAGTGAGTAGGGCACTGGCCCCATATACTAAGGGTGGCAGGTTCAAACCTGGCCTTGGCCAAACTGCAACAAAAAAATAGCCGGGCATTGTGGCAGGTGCCTATAGTCCCAGCTACTCAGGAGGCTGAGGCAAGAGAATCACTAAGCCCAGGAGTTGGAAGTTGTTGTGAGCTGTGACACCCTAGCACTCTACCAAGGGTGATAAAGTGAGATTCTGTCTCTACAAAAAAAAAAAAAAGTTTGTTGAGGAGCAGAGTATTAACACAGTCTCAGAGTATCTCCTGAAAAAATGACTTACAAATTACAAAGGGAAATGTACCTTTCCAATGTAGAAGCTTGATGGATATGAGTTAACAAAGCAAGCAATTACATCAATAGTAATAGCATAAACCAACATCACATACCTCCTAATGTTATGCCTGAGAAAACTCAACATGATTTATATAGTATTTCCCAAAAAGTCCATGACCTAAATCTAATAATGAGAAAGCAGTCATATGAACCAAACCATTTGAGTAGTCTCATAATAAACACCTGGCCTGCACTCCTCAAAAATACATGTATTAATATTATGAAAGACCAAAAATAGCTAAATGACTAATTCATTTAGTTTTCTAGTCATCACATCCAAAGAAACATAACAAATAGGCAATTCACGATCATGGATTGGGGGGAAAGGTGCTATAAAGAAAAGTAAAGCAATAGATAAATTTTTAATATGGACTGAATATTATATAATAAT